TTGGATTTTCATTTAGATAATGACATGCCCAGTTTGGTCTCTAAGCCAGTAGGTGGTGCTTGTGGGTGAGAATTGACCACACCCTGTGTGATGGGTCAGTACATGCAGTAAAAGGACATGCAAATTTACCTCAATGTCAGTAGGTGGCACTTGCCAGGAGGAGCAAGGTGTAATGTTGTTTTGGGGTCCTGTAACCATCTCTCATTCCTATGGAGAGGCGCTATAGTTCCTTGGGTGGTGAGTAGGGCCCTCGGACTTCCAGGTGTGTCCTTATTCTTCACCCCAGCATGGGTGGGTGAGGCAGTGAGGCTGGGTAGGGCTGGATCAGGTGAAACTACCCTCTAGCTCCAGAAATGCTTTTAGTAGGGGTCACAGGTCTGTCCCACACCTCTAGGCAAAACTTCCAGGGAAGGGCTAAAGTGGCCCTCCTCAACCAAAAGTGGGCATGTTGAGGTGAGGCTGTCTGAGACTCGCAGTCTGGAGTAGGCCTTGCTCCTTTTCACTCTTCCCTATTTCATGGTTTCTTCTGGGTCTCTGCTGGCAGGGAGGACCTCAAACCAGTTGAGCTCTGCCTCAACTGTGATGTGGGGGGAGGTTACTTGGACAGGATCATGGCCTAAGCTGGGAGTGTGGCCTTCCCATGGGAGGAGAGGTGCCCCTTGAGCACACTGCAGCTAGGACCCACTCTGATCTGCCCCTGAAGGCACACATACCTCAGTAGACTAATTCACAAATATCCCTTCTGTGCCCGGGGACAATGTGATCAAGACCTGGGTGTATGGGATCTAGCCTGCTGGACTGTGCCCTGGGCTCCAGGGTTCAACTCCTGTCCAGGTCAGGGAGAAGAATGCTGGTCTCTAGTCACCCACAGGGTGCCCAAGCTGGATCAATGTCTCTCCACCTTGGGGTTTTCCCTGCTCTGCTGAAATCACTGGACAAGTAGCACCAGGAAGTAGCACTGGATGGGAAGCTCATAGTCTGAGCACCCCTCGGTCCACTGCAGGGTCCCAAAAGAAAGGGTCCTATTCACTGTGGATGCCTCCCGGTGGTGACTAAATTGTCTCTTTCAGTAGACACGAGTATGGGAAGGGAAGGGGAAAATGAAGCAATATGGTGTCTGCTGATTGGCTGGGGTCTGTGGTGTGGGAAGGGCCCCGAGGGAGCTGGGAGCCTGGTGCCCTGTTCACAAGATGCCGTGTCTGTTCACTGATGGCAGCATTCTCTGGGCTGGTATCAGCAGGTCTCTCCAGCAGCTTGGGAGCTTACCAGCAGTCAAAGATGCAAGGGAGGGGAAATTTAACCACTTCACCTACCCTTTCCACTGGTCTCCAAGCCTTTTGGAGCTTAATCCCTACAATACTTTTCTCTTTCCAGTTCTGCTCCACAACCTCTTGCCATGGAGTCTCCTGTAGGTTCAGGCACCCTTCTTTCTGACCCTCATCTGATCTATGTTTGTCTGCCTGTTTGTTTTTTTCTCTTTCATCTAAAATTTATCCTTTTTGCATAGACCCTATGGATGAAGGTGTTTCTCATCTGCCATCTTGCCTCCCACTCTGTCTTTTGATTGGAGAATTTAATCCATTTATACTCAGAGTAAGTTTTGATAGATAAAGACTTATAGCCATTTTGCTAATTGTTTCCTGGCTGTTTTCTAGAGCCTTGTTCCTTTCTTCCTCTCTTAATGTCTTTGTTTGTGGTTTGATGATTTTCTATGGTGGTATGCTTTGATTTCTTTTTCTTTCTGTTTTGTGTATCTACTATAGATGTTTGCTTTGTGGTTACCATAAGGCTTACATAAAATATCTTATAGTTTCAACAGTCTATTTTAAGCTGTGAACAACTTAAAATAGATTACAGACAAAAACTCTACACTTTTACTCCCCTGATATTTTATGTGTTGGGGGCCAAATTTACATATTTTTATATTGTATACTCATTAGCAAATAATTATAGCTATAGTTATTTTTAACACTTCTGTCTTTCAATTTTTATACTAACATTAAGTGATTTACATACCACCATTACAGTATTACAATATTCTAAATTTTTTTTTTATTTCGGCATATTATGGGGGTACAGATTTTAAGGTTTCAATAAATGCCCATTTCCCCCACCCCCACAAGTCTGAGTCTCCATCATGACCATCCCCCAGATGGTGCACATCTCACTCATTATATATGTATATACCCGCCCTCCTCCCCCCTCCCACATGCCCAATACCCTATTACTGTAGTACCTTTGTGACCACTTAGGTGCTGTTCAGTTAATACCAATTTGCTGGTGAGTATATGTGGTGCTTGTTTTTCCATTCTTGGGAAACTTCACTTAATAGTATGGGTTCCAGCTCTAACCAAAAATATGGAACGCTTCACGAATTTGTGTGTCATCCTTGCGCAGGGGCCATGCTAATCTTCTCTGTATCGTTCCAATTTTAGTATATGTGCTGCCGAAGCGAGCACCAATATTCTAAATTGATGATATATTAATATTTACCTTCACCAGTGAATTTTATATTTTCATATGTTTTCATCTAATTATCAGCCTTTCTTTTGCACTAGAAAAACTCTCTTTAGCATTTATTGTAGGCAGATCTATTAGTGATCAACTCTCTCAGCTTTTGTTTGTCTGAGAAAGTCTTTCTCTCTACCTCATTTCTTAAAGATAGTATTCTTAATACTCATTGTTTTCTTTCAACACATTGAATATATCATGCCACTGTGTTCTAGACCAGGGGTCCTCACACTTTTTAAACAGGGGGTCAGTTCACTCTCCCTCAGATCATTGGAGGGCCAGACTATAGTTTAAAAAAAACTATGAACAAACTACTATGCACACTGCACATATCTTATTTTGAAGTAAAAAAACAAACTGTGGCCCGCGGGCCATAGTTTGAGGACACCTGTTCTAGACTGAAATAGCTGCTCAGAAATGCTGATATCCTTTCTGACATTTCCTTGTATGTGACACGCTTCTTTTCTCTTACTTCTTTCAACAGCCTCTGTTTATCTTTAATTATTGACAGTTTAATATAATGTCTTGGTGAAGTCTTCCTTAGGTTGAATATAATTGGAGAGCTTTGAATTTCAAGTACCTAGATGTCCATATCTCTCCCCAGATTTGGAAAGTTTTCAGCCATTATGTCTTTAAATAAGCATTTACTGTATTTTCTCTCTCTTTTCCTTCAGTGATTCCCTTAATGCAAAAATTAGCTCTTTTGATGGTGTTCCTTAAATCCTGTAGGTGTTTTTCATTCCTTTTCATTGTTATTTTTGTTATTGTTCTTTGGCTGGGTAATTTGAAACAATCTGTCTTCAATTTCTCTTATTCCTTCTTGTGCTTGATCCATTGTCCTGTTGAAGCTCTCTATTCCATTTTTTTTATTGTTGTTGTTTAGTCATTGTGTTCTTCAGCTCCAAAATTTCTGTTTGGATCTTTTAAAAAATTCTGTCTTTGTTGAACTTCTTACTTTTGTTCTTGTATTGTTTTTCTGATTTCATTAAATTGTTTATCTGTGTTCTCGTGCAGTTCACTGAGCTTTCTTAAAGCAATTATTTTGAATTATTTATCAGGCAATTTGTAGATTTGTTTTTAGGCAAACCTCCATTTTTGGGTGGGTAGTTATCAGATTATCATTGTGTTCTTTTAGTAGTGTCATGTTTCCCTGACTATTATGTCCTAGAAATATTGCATTGCTCTTTCCCATTTGAAGAGTCAGTCACTCCCTCCACTGTTTGTTGTCTGTCTTTGGGAGAGAAATGCCTTCACCAAACAGCCTGGCTGGGGATCTGAGTCTCTCTCACAGCTTTTCTACGAACTCACCCGTTCCATTGCTCTTCTTCCCTCTTGTGTGGGATTTCTTAAGATTGTATGCCTTCTTCTTGATCCTGCGGAGCCAGTCTAGGTCCTGAGACTCCCGTTTGTTTTCCCTAGGGTGGTGCCCTGGAATTATCAAGTTTGTGTGCCTTTTCTCAATCCTGCAAAGTCAAACTGACAGTCTTTGTGTGATGTTGTCACTTGTTGTCCGTGGGGTACACTTGGGGAGCCAGCCTGGATGGGGAAGTGAGATGTGTGGAACATTTAGAGTGTCTGTGGGTCAGGTGGGGGTAAGGCCGCTCACCTGGCTTGTGGGCAGGCTTCCTGCTGGAGTGGTTAGTGGGTTCTGCAGTCTCTATTTCCTGCTAGCAGCCTCTCCCAATCACTCAACCATACTAATCGCCTCAGTATTTTGGAGGGGTGAGAGAGAAGTGGGTCTCAGGCAGCATCCTGCATGGCTGGAGGAGTTGGGCACTCAGTCACTATCCTCTCACTTTTTCCTGTGGGAAAAATTGTAAGCCAAAAGCGCCTCTCTTGGCATTGAGTTGTGCCACCTTGGGGAGGGGTGATGTAGGTAAAATGAAAGTATTCTTCTTATCCTTGTCAATACATCTATTCTAGGATTTTATAACCCAAATTTGTGCTGAAACTTCTCTGGTGGATTCTTGGACTTCCACAGAGGTACTCTCAACTGTGGATAATTGTCTAAATTGGTACTGCTGTGTGGGATGACAGTAAAGAAAGTTCTTGTTCTACCTTCTTACTGATGTTGCTTTCTCCAATTATTTTTGTTAACTGATTAAAAGATGTATAGGAGAGGAACTGCATAGCATTAGGGAAAATGGGACCTCATAGTGTGAAGGTGAACATTTGCGAACACTTCTTAGAATATTTTTTCCCTTTTTGTTCATCTTTATTGCGATATAATTGACAGCTACAACATGCATACATTTAAGATATATAGTGTGATAATTTGATACACATTTATATCTTGAAATGATTACCACTATTAGGCTAATTAATGTATTCATCCATGTCACATAGTTACCACTCTCAGAATGTTTTATACACTGCTTTGATTTCTTTTTTTTTTTTTTAACCTTAGTAGGTTTCACAGCCTTTTATGTTATGGCAGGAAAACACATTGATTATCCTTTAATCTTACCATAATCTCTAAATATACTTACCTTGGTCATTGTATGAAGTGTCTAGAGGATCAAAAAAAATAAGATTATTAATTTCACATAACCAGATTTCTATATTAATTTAACAATCCAATAAATATCTAATTTATTTACCACTTTCTGTTGAATATGCATATTGTAATCCTAAAAGAGAAGATGAAAACATAATGAGATTCTACCTTGACAAGTATGTCTACCTTATTTTCTCATTAAATGAAAATCTGTTAATCTCTTCCTCTTTCAGATCTCTGAGAGGAAAAATATTTTAGGAAAGAAAAAAACAGATTAACTTTACCAACAGTGTCTTAAGAAATAAGTTCATCATTAGTCTTAATCCAACTATTAAGAGATTTGTTACTTTTTTCCAGATATTCCCATTTTTTGGGGTTCCATCTCAGAAAACAAAGAGGAGATGCTATGGCCTTTGCTGTGATGAACTCATGTTTATTACAGATGAACTAAGTAAGAAGGGGAAGAATGGACCAAGAGTCCAAGCGTGGCGCATGGACAGCAAGCAGAGTGACCAAGTTCCCTCCTCTTCTTTTCTCAATTCTTTGGGATCCATATGCTTGTAGCATGTGTGTGTGTGTGCATTTTCATTTGTGTGTGTGTGTGTGTAATCGTTCACACATCCACAACTTCATAACCTTATAGTTATATAGGCCAACCTGGTTGGTGGGCCTAGTATGGACAACTTTAGTGGCCTCTAGCAGGGAGGAGTTCTAGTGGCTACTATTGAGTTCTGGAGATAGGACTAGTCAGAGAGACAGCACATCCATAGGCAGCTCTGGTGAGTGGATGCTGAGAGAGAGCATTGAGTGCTGGAGCGTGAGGGTTAAGGATAGCCACGGTACGCTGAAGTTAGTAGTGTGTGTGTGTCCCTGAAGAAAAGTAGACAGTACCTTGGTTTCTCATCTTAACCATCAAATTTCAAAACCTGATTTGATATCCAACTCCTTCCTTAGGTAGGTGTACTTGAGTTAAGTGTCAATCTTTTGACACTAGAACTTTCATCTTCTAGAATGGGGATGTTTTATTTACCTCATATATTGTATTGTATAGCTTTCAAAGAGTCTTTTTCCATATACTATTCCACTGACTCTTCATGAAAGCCTGTGAATTATGTATGTTATCTGTACTTTAAACATTCAGGAAATTGTTTCAGAGAGGTTTCTTAAGCTTTCTAAGGTCTTGGGGTAAATAGGAACTTGAATTGTTTTAATGGTCTTAGGAAAAGGAATTGTTTACCTTTTACGATAAAATTACAAAATTCATGTATGTGTGTGTGTGTGTGTGCAATTTATTTATTTATTGAGAAAGAAAGAGAGAGGGAGAAAGAGAGATTGACAGGCATTTGGATATTATAACAACAAAAGATGTGCTGGCATAATAGGTCCTGCTCTCTAAAGAATATGTCCCTCCATTACTTCTCTAGTAGTTCCTAATCTATTTACCATCCTCACAGTCCAGAAGTCCAGCACCTAGAGAAAAAAGGAAGAGAGAGCTCACGATTTTGCTTCTTTATTATTAGTGGGGCTTTATTTAAGACCCTGAGAGCTAATGTAAACATGAACTCCTAATAGTGAATAATGATGTGCATTAATTTACTTTGCAGGAATGAGGGATTGTTCATAAGTAACAGGAGCAGATGATGATAAATGACAGTGCCAGTTGCTAGTTTCATAATATTAGCCAAGCTAAATGATAATCAAAAAGAGCTTCAAAGTTGCTTTTACCTCTTGGTACTTGAGCACCTAGCTCCTGTTTTTTTCTCCTTAACAGTCCTGGGCTATCTTCTTAGCACCTTTGGCATCTCTCCAGATCTTTACATGGAAAGTCTGCTTCACCTCTTCACATTTGATGTTGGTACTCTTCTTTTCAATAATAATCACATTAGCTATGTTTACCCTCATTCCAGGCTACTTTAGATTTTTCTACCCGGCTGCCTTACAAAGGCCCTTTCACTAGCAGAGTTAGACCTGCTGAACCATCTACTCTGGTACCTAAGGAGTCTGCTATTTCTATGGCTTGGTATCTCTGTTGCTGCTCTCAGACCACAGAAAGCATCTGAAGAGCACCTCAGATTCATGCAGCCCTACCTACTATTAATTCATTCTGCCCAACTCCAGTTTTGCATTCAGCACTGCTCAGAAATCCCTAGTTGACTTCTTACAGTAACTTAGAAGTTCAGTTCATGCACTGATGCACGATGCGAAGTGCTAGAAAGAGTGGTAAACAAGATAGATTTCATTCCTGACTTACGAAAATTTCATAAATACTATATTTCTTTTTCTCCTGGGTTTGAGTACTTACTTTGTTCTGAACTGTATCTGGAGACATAAATTTCTGTGGAAGAATTAAGAAAAATGTTTCTGTTAGCTACTTGTGAGAGATATTCTTCCCCTGAGCCAACTTTCCTCACTCTAAGCTGTACTTCTTTGCTCCCAGGGTGGTCTTCCTGATAAAATGCATTACTGATTCTCTAAAGATTCAGCATCTTTAGCCAGTCTTGTTCTATTTTTTACAATTCTTATTCTTTGAAGGTTCATAGACATTGAGGATGCAAAATAGGGAGGGAATATAGCTGATTAGAAGGTAGTGGGAGAGAAATGGAAAAATCCTGGAAAAATGAACCATGACATAGAAATAGGTCTTTGCCCTTTTGATTTACATCTCTGTTTCATTGACAAGTACTACTCTGTATTTCTCTCTTCTTATCATCTCTCCATATTAAATCTCTAAAAGTCCTCAGCTCTTTCCAGACAACATCAGATATTGGTGTGTATTAGCATACTGTCTTCTCACTTCTATTTCTTTTTAACTCAGATAATTTTCCTTGGAGCTCAGAAAATTTTTTTAAAAAGTATCCTTATAACTTCTGTTAAATTCTGTGATTTTTTTGTTGACGTCATTGATAATGTAAGCTTTGGGAATTTAAAATTGTAGGCGAATCTAATAGGTCATAGATTCTTTAACTCATGTATTGAAACAGATTCCCCAAATATTGGCAAAGTCTCTAGTTATTTGGTAAGTAGAGATGAGCTCAAACTGACTCTTGGAATCCCTCCCTCTGTGACTTTAACAGTTCTTCATTTTGACTCATTAATACTCACCACTTTGCTTGCGTCGTGTCCATCTTGTTAACAAAATAGCGAGAATGGCAAGTCCCAGTAGAGTCAGGATGACAGCCAAAGTTATTTCTGAAATACAAATTCACCTGTAGGCATGCTTATTTATAGCAGGTCATTATCAGAGACAATTTCTGATCACTTCTTACTGTCCACCAGATAGACATTTTTTTCTTTCACTTTCCTGCTACTTCAACTCCTTTATTCCCTTATCTTCTTTATATTACTGTCCCCAGATATCTGCCCTTGCCCATTTAATAGTAATTATAGGCTGCCCAGAGAGACAATACAGCCACCAGCCAGAGGCATCTCCAGGGAACAGGACCTTCCCTTTTGGGACCCTACAGCTGACTCAGGGGAACTCAGACTGTGAGCTCCCTACCTGCCAGCCCTCCCAGATGCTCCTGGCATGGTGTTCCCAGGAGAAAGATGCCGACTCAGAGGCTGAGAGACACAGACCCAGCTTGGGCTCCCTGTGGGTGAATTGGGACCGGAACTCCTCTCCCTGGTGGGGATACAGTTTGAACTCTGGGACCCAGAGGTTGGACCTGCAGACCAGATCCCGTGCACAGAAGTCTCGCATTGCCCGGGGCACAGAAAGGATATACAGGAACAGCCTACTGAGGTGTGTGTGCTTCAGGGCAGATCAGCGTCCAGGAGGGCAACCTTCCCCCAAAGGGAGCCATGCGCCAGCCCAGGTGTGGCGTTTCTGCGCAGGGAACCTCCCCCCGCATCACAATCAGGGAGGCTGGTGGCATGTGGTCTGGCCTGCTGGCAGAGCCCAGGAGTAGACGGGAGTTGGAGGGTGAAAGAACGATGCCTGCTCCAGACTGTGGGTCTCAGACAGCCACCCCACACTTGACTCTCTGACTGAGTGGGGCCATTCCAGCCCCTCCCTGGCAGCTTTTCCGGAAGCAGAGAAAAAAAATTGATCCCTGCTAACAGCATGGGTGGTGCCTGAGGGCAGTCTTATCCAACCCAGCACCACGACTCACTCCCAGACCAGCCCTTACTGAGGGGGAGAAAAGGACACACCTGGAAGTCCCAGGGCCCCACCCACCACCTGAGGCACTAGAGTGCCTCTCTAGAGGAACAAGAGCTGATAACAGGACACAAAAAACAACAGGTAGCCTGTTCTCCAAGCAGCGCCACCTACTGACAGGGAGACATTCTGCACCCTTTTCATGGCACCTACTGACTATAATACAGGGTGTGGCGAATATCTGGGGAAAAGAATCCTATTCAATAAATGGTGCTGGGAAAACTGGATAGCCCCTGTAGAGAGATGAAACAAGACCCACACCTTTCACCTCTCACAAAAATCAACTCACGCTGGGTAACAGACTTGAACCTTAGGTGTGAAACTATTAAAATTCTAGAGGAAAATGTTGGAAATACTTTTCTAGACTTGCCTAGGCAAAGAATTTATGAAGAAGACCACAAGGTAATAACAGACAAAAATAAACAAATGGGACCTGATCAAATTAAAAGCTTCTGCACAGCCAAAGAAACTGTCAGGAGAGCAAACAGACAACCCAAAGAATGGGAGAAATTTTTGCAACGTACTCATCTGATAAAGGGCTGATAACTAGAATCTATTTAGAACTCAGGAAAATCAGCAAAAAAAAAAATCAAACAACCCTATCAAAAAATGGCAAACAGGACATGAAGAGAACTTTTCAAAAGAAGACAGAATAATGGCAACAAACATATGAGAAACATTTTCAACATCTCAATATTCAGGGAAATGCAAATCAAACCACAATGAGATATCACTTAAGACCGGAATGCGGCAAAAAGTCCCCAAACAATAAATGCTTGGTGTGGATGCGGAGAGATAGGAACACTCCTACACTGCTTGGTGGGACTGCAAATAGTTCAACCTCTGTGGAAAGCAGAGAAGGTACCTCAACATACAAGTGAGAACATTCTTACAGCAATTCCAACTAGTATTTAACCCAAAAGTCAAAAGTCACTTCATGAAAAAGACACCTGCATTTGAATGTTTATAGCAGGCACAATCAACAATTGCAAAGCTATGGAAACAACCCAAGTGCCCATCAATTCATGAGTGGATTAATAAAATGTGGTATATGTATACCATGGATTTATTATTCAGCTTTAAGAAACAATGGTGATGTAGCACCTCTTGTATATTCCTGGATAGAGCTGGAACCCATTCTACTAAGTGAAGTATCTGAAGAATGGAAAAACCAGCACCACATGTACTCACCAGCAAATTTGTATTAACGGGTCAACACCTAAGTGGACATATAGGAGTAACATTTATCGGGTGTCAGGAGGGTGGGAGGGGGGAGAAGGGAATGGGCATATACAACCACAATGAGTAAGATGTGAAACGTTTGGGGGATGGACACGCTTGAAGCTCTTACTCTAGGGAGGAGTGGGCCATGGGCAATATATGTAACCTTAACATTAGTACCCCCATAATAGCTAAAATAAAAAAAAATATATATATATAAAACATACATTTAGTTAGTATAGTTGTACATTTATAACATTTATAAATATACATATATAGAGAATATATGCTCAAAAAAATTTTACATGGATGAGCAATTAAAAAACTTTGGAGGCCTCTGACTAAAGACCTCTGCTAAGCAAAGGTGGTCATGTGAAAGTTGTAGCAGAGGACAGAAATTTTTTATCACTGAGGACCTTTCAGTTATCATTCACTGAACCTCTCATGATAAGATGAATATTTGTGAAGTTTGTTACTGTGGTTGATAAAGCATGCTAGAACTGACTAACCTGTGTTTGTTTATGTGTCATTGATTTGCCTTCAATTGATGTAAGATAGAGTCTTACAGTCATAGTAGAGAAAAATCTTAGACAACATCCTATGGTTATGAAGAATAATGGCTATAAAGGATATGAAAATAAAGAAAAAGAGAGAAAGAGAGAGAGAGAGAGAAAAAGAGATTGAGGAACAAAGAAGGAACCAATCAACCATAAATCTGCCTGTGACAGTGAAAATGTTGAAGAATGTTGAATTCCATAGGTTAATAGATTACACCAAGATTAAAGCTACTTCAAAAAAGGAATAGGTGAATCCACTTCAAGATGTAATAACACACACACCTACAATCAAGGCAGATTAGGCACATATCTACTGAGTCTTTTGGGTGTTTGGTCATGTGAGAAAATTCTCCTGCCTAATCAACCATTGGAGATTTGCTCCTAATGCACTACTAAAATGAGGAGTAAATAGTCTGGACTCTGTCATGTGAGTCAGAACTTTTTGGCTAATGTGAGATAGCCCTTGGGGGAGGGAGGCACAGCTAGGCGGTGTACTCCTATTAAGCTTCTGGACAGTAGCACTCCCTTTGAATGGTGTCTGAGTGCTCTGGCTATAGAGCAGTTAGAAGATGATTTATCCCATTTATGATGAAAATAAGTGGAAGTCCCCATTGCTCAGAGTTGAGATGGATCATAGAGTGAATGGTACTATAGGGAGGGAGATAATGGGCTAAGAAATTTTCCCAGTGCTATGGAAAGTGGTTATTTTTTTTTCATCAGTTCAAACTCTAGAAAGAAAAGGAGAAATCGACAGTATTACTCTAGAAAGGAACTGCCTGTGGGTTGTTTCTCCCAGGCTCCCAGAGGATCAATAAGAATGAAATAAATGATATTGAATTTGAAAAGGAGGCAGGCAGCAAGGTAAAACAGCTGTGTTAAAGTCCTTAAGGGAAGACTCCTGAGCCAGTAGAGTGAAGGAAGCCTTAGAGAAGAAGTCAATCCATACCCAAGACTGCCATTTTCCCGGTATTGTCTTCAGTGGGTTTCGTGTCATCTGTGTTTCTTTGTCAGAGGGAGATCAAGACAAAAAGAACAGTTCAGGCTCACTGTTTATGAGCAGTATGAACTTGAGGGTCATGGAGGCCCTTGTAGACAAAGACGCAGAGGTTTGCTGAGAAACTGTGTGGCTCAGGTTGATCAGATCTGAGCAAACTATGGGAGTGTGGCTTGTGAAAGTTCTGAAATCTATGTCGTAACAAAGACTTAGAATTTCAGGGAGGCAAGAGGAACTAAAGAGAAGAACCAAGAGGCCGGGAAGATGTAAGAATACTTTGGAGGACCTTAACTTATATAAGATATTAGAAAGGAACTTACTCTGTCTGGGCTTTAGAATAATTTCTAATTTGCAGAGATTTTGAGGGCAGCAATTGTGTCTCACTCATCTTTGTAACTCTTGAGACAGAGAACCTTCCACAGAATAGACACTTTGTAAATGTTCAATGATTAAAAGTGGAAAAAATTCCTGTATTTATTATAAAAAGAGTGGCTTTGAAACAAATAAAGATGAACCAGAGAAGCCAGGTTGTTGAAGTTAGGTAGCAAGGAGAAGTGCAGAGTTCTCTGGTGCTACGAAAAATGAACCATTGAATGAGATTTCATAAGCTACTGTGGAGAACAAGGAGAATAGCAAACACCTTTCTTGAGTGCCTGTTAACTACAAGGCTCTATATGAGGACTTTACAAGCACAAACTCATTTAATCCCCAATAACCTTCATAGTGAAATCCTTCTAGATGCAGAGAGACACCAGAAGTCACCCAGCCAACAAAGGACAGTTTCTGATTCCAAAGCATACACTATATTCACAAAGGCACACTTTGTTTCAATCTTGGAGGCCTATAGTGGTATTTTCCAGGGTGAGCAGTTAGCCACTGCAAGGGGAGAGTGATGCCTTCTAGATTTAGGATGCTTGATCTGTCAGGTCTAGGGCAGCTCTGGACTACTTTGTTTTTTAAAATGAACCTTAATGGTAAAATTCTTATTTGGCCTATTTTTATGGTCTAGATTGATAAGGGAGTAGTTATTTAAAAATTTTACATATATAAATTTAAATTACCATGATTTCAATACTTACTCTATATTTTAATTTTATTAAGACTTGCCTATTGATACAGGTTCATTCTGAAGGTATATTACAGTTATTATAACCATTGCAAGTCCAATAGTCAATTACAATGATTAATTGTATAATTTTGACTATGTCACTAGCATGCTATAATTGAATTATTCAAATTTGGTTACATAGTAATATCTTACAAAATAGATTAGTACCTCAGCCTTATTTCTGAATTACAGCTCTCTTATTGTTGACTAAATGTAAATTCTAATGGCAAAAACATGATAATTTTATTGTATTCCCATCATAACCCAATGCAAACCCAAACTAAACCAACAAAACAAAATACTCTCTGTGATAGTTAATTTTGTGTTACATGGCTATGTATGGTGCCTAGTTGTTTGTTCAAACATGAGTCTGGGTGATGCTGTGAAAGCATTTTTTAGATGTGATAAAGAGTTATAATCAAATCAACTATTCAGCTATAAAAAACAACAGTGATATAGCACCTCTTGTATTTTCCTGGATAGAGCTGGAACCCATTCTACTAAGTGAAGTATCCCAAGAATGGAAAAATAAGCACCAAGTGTACTCACGAGAAAATTGGTATTAACTGATCAACACCTAAGTGGACATATAGGAATAACATTTATTGGGCTTTGGGCAGACGGGAAGGGGAGGAAGGGATGGGTATATACATACATAATGAGTGTGATGTGCACCATCTGGGGGATGGACATGCTTGAAGCTCTGACTCCAGGGGGGGAAGGGGGAAAGGCAACACATATAACCTAAACATTTGTAACCCCATGGTATGCTGAAATAAAAAAAAAAATCTTAGGTCTGATTTTAGTAAAGCAGATTACCCTCTGTACTGTGGGTGGTCCTCATCCAGTTAGTTGTGGAGGTTCTCATTCAGTCTTTGTCTTAAAAGCGAAGACTGAGATTTCTGCCTCAAGGCTTTACCATAGAAACTCTGCTTGAGTTTCCAATTTGCCTGGCCTGCCTGTGGATTTCAGACTCAAGACTGCAATATTAACTATTACCTTAATTTACAGCCTTGTGACCTATCCTACAGATTTCACTTGCCAGGCCCCATAATTGTGTGAGCCAATTCTTTAAAATACATTTTTTTTTTATTTTGGCATATTATGGGGGTACAGATTTTAAGGTTTCAATAAATGCCCATTTTCCCCCCCTCACCCCACAAGTCTGAGTCTCCAGCATGACCATCCCCGAGATGGTGCACATCTGACTCATTATGTATGTATATACCCGCCCCCTCCCCCCTCCCACCTGCCCAATACCCTATTACATATGTTTGTTGGCCATTCTTCTGTCTTCTTTAGAAAAGTTTCTGTTCAAGTCCTTTGCTCACTTTTTAATACGGTTATTTGATTTTTTTCTTCCTGATTTTCGTGAGTTCTAAGTATATTCTAGTTATCAGTCCCTATCGGATGCATAGGATGCAAAAATTTTCTCCCATTCTGTAGGTTGTCTGCTTACTTTCATGACTATTTCTTTGGCAGTGCAGAAGCTTTGTAGTTTGATCATGTCCCATTTATTTATTTTTGTTGCTGTGTGATTGCCTTTGGGGACTTCTCATAAACTCTTTGCCAGGCCGATGTCTAGGAGAGTGTTTCCAACTTTTTCTCTAGAGTTCTAATAGTTTCATACCTTAGGTTTAAGTCTGTTATCCAGCGTGAGTTGGTTTTTGTGAGAGGTGAAAGGTGTGGGTCCTGTTTTAGCCTTCTACAGGTGGCTATCCAGTTTTCCAGCACATTTATTGAAAGGGATTCTTTTCCCCAGCGTATGTTTTTGTCTGCTTTGTCAAAGATTAGATGCTATATGAGGATGGTTTTATATCAGGATTCTCACATCTGTTCACTGGTCAATATTCCTATTTTTGTGCCAATACCATATTGATTTAATTACTACAGCTTTGTAGTATAGTTTGATGATATCTGGCATGTTAATGCCTCCATTTTGTTTTTGTTGCCTAGAATTGCCTTGATATTCGGGGTCTTCTTTGGTTCCATACGAAGGTAAAATTATTTTTCTATATCTGTGAAGAATGCTGATGGATTTTAATAGGTATTCATTGAATCTGTAGATCAGTTTGGGTAGTATAGACATTTTGATGATGTTGAGTCTGCCAATCTCTCACAAATCAATCACGCGGAACAGACTTGAACTTAGTGTAAACTATTAAAATTCTAGAGGAAAATGTTGGAAATACTTTTCTAGACATTGGCTAGGCAAAGAATTTATGAGAAGACCACAAAGGTAATTAAACAGCAACAAAAATAAACCAAATGGGACCTGATCAATTAAAAAAAGCTTCTGCACAGCCAAAGAACGTCAGTGAAGCAAAACAGACAACCCAAAGAATGGGAAAAATTTTTGCAAGCTACTCATTGATAAAGGGCTTGAAACTAGAATCTATTAGATAGGAAAAATTCAGCAAAAAAAATCAAAAACCGTATCAAAAATGGCAAAGGGACATGAAGAGAAACTTTTCAAAAAGAGACAGAATAATGGCAACAAACTATGAAAACATTTTCAACATCTCTATCATCAGGGAAATTGCAATCAAAACCACAATGAGATATCACTTAACTCAGTGTGAGAATGGGCCTTTTTTTATCAAGAAAGTCCCCAACAATAATGGCTGGTTGGAGTGCGGGAGATAGGACACTCCTACACTGCTGGTGGGATGCAACATAGTTCAACTCTGTGGAAAGCAATATGGGAGATACCTCAAAGCGTACAAGTAGATCTACCTTCTATCCAGCAATTTCCACTACTGAGTATTTCCCAAAGATCAAAAGTCACTTCATGAAAAGACACCTGCACTTGAATGTTTATAGCAGCACAATTCAACAATTGCAAAGCTATGGAAACACCCAAGTGCCATCAATTCATGAGGGATTAATAAAATGTGGTAATGTAATACCATGGATTATTATTCAGCTTTAAGAAACAACGGGATATAGCACCTCTTGTATATTCCTGTAGAGCTGGAACCCATTCTACAATGAATATCTGAAGAATGGAAAACCAGCACCACATGTATCACCAGCAAATTTGTATTAACGGTCAACACCTGAGTGAATTAGGAGTAATCATTATCGGGTGTCGCGAGGGTGGAGGGGAGGAGGGGATAGGCAATACACACAATGAGTAAGATGTGCAACGTCTGGGGGATGGACACGCTTGAAGCTGCTTACTCTAGGGAGAGTGGCCATGGGCAATATATGGTACTTAAATTAGTACCCCCATATACGCTAATAAAATAATATAGATATATATATATATATATATAATAACTTATGTTAGTTTATTTATTATAACATTTATCAATATAATATATAGAGATATATGCTCAAAAAATCTTTACATGGATGACAATTAAAAAACTTTGGGAGGCCTCTGACTAAAAGGCACTTCTGCTAAGCAAGGTGGTCTGTGAAAGTTTAGCAGAGGACAGAAATTTTTTATCACTGAGGACCTTTCAGTTATCATTCATGAACCTCTCATGATAATGAATATTTGTGAAGTTGTTACTGGGTTGATAAAGCATGCTAGGACTGACTAACCTGTGTTTTTATGTTCATTGATATTGCCTTCAATTGATGTAAGATAGAGTCTTACAGTCATAGTGAAGAAAAAGTCTTAACAACATCCTATGGTTATGAAAATATGGGCTATTAAGGATATGAAAATAAGAAAAAGAAGAGAGAGAGAGAAAAAGAGATTGAGGAACAAAAAGGAACAATCAACCATAAATCTGGCCTGTGACAGTGAAAATGTTGCAAGAATGTTGAATTCCATAGGTAATAGATTACACCAAGATTAAAGCTACTTCAAAAAAAGGAATAGGTGAATCCACTTCAAGGATGAATAACACCACACGCTACAATCCAGCAGATTAGGCACATATCTACTGCGTTTTTAGGTGTTTGGTCATGTGAGAAATTCCTCCTGCTAATCAACCATTGGAGATTTGCTCTAATGCACTACTAAAATGAGGAGTAAATAGTCTGACTCTGTCATGTGAGTCGAACTTTTTGGCTAATGTGAGATAGCCCGTGGGGAGGAGGGCACGTAGGGGT